TGTAGTAACACGTTAGACATGAACACATCTATGGAGAGATATTTCTCGTTTATTTTACTAATTTAAGTTTAGAATTCGAGTTTTATTATAATAAAAAATTTTAAAAAATAATCACATTTAATTTTTTTTATAATAAAAAATTTTCATATAAAATTAAATCTTAATTTAAATTAAAAATTCAAAATAAACGAAAGTTTATAAATAACAACTTTTATCCAAAAATCAATGACCTGTTAAATAGGACACCGGGCCTTGCTGTCATGACTGTGAGTGACTGTATGGGGGGGGCACTACAGTTTGGAACCTGACCGGGTCTAGCTGGCCAGAGCGTTCAGAAGACCTATCTGCAGTTTCTCACTTTGACCACCAAAATTTTTATAGTAGCCTTTCCTAGTATGTATTTTTAATAGCAACACATATTTCTAAAGGTTTGGAATCATATTAAAATAAAACCGTATATAAAATTAAGAATTGTCTTCAGTCCAACACGCGGGGGATCAATATAATTTTTTCATATGTCCTTACTATAGCACCGTTTTGCATGTTCATTTAACCTTTAGTTTATTTTAGTGTAACATTGAATAAATATAGTCAAACAAACATGATATAGATATGGATTGTGTAATACAAAGTGCATATGAAAAAAGATACACTTATCTGATTGTACGCCTGTAGAATGTAAAGGCTGTCAATAAAATTAATGTGTGTACAAAAAAATTATATAATGTAATAAAAATTTAACCGTTGAAAATAATATATCGATCAAAAGAATTCTTCGGTCCTATCCAATCAAAAGCTTGACCACCGACGCAAACCTGGTCACAGTGAGTTTAGTGGCAGTGGTTGTGGTCATAAACAGCAGAGAGAAGCAGCACTCCTCAGACAAAATGATTAGACCCCTTTCACACCCTCTCTCAATTGGCTTTGCACAAAGGAATAAGCCACAGTTTTTCTCTCCAAAAAGACAGAGAAAGTGGTTTCTTTCTTTACGCCCAAAGGTGAAATTTATAAGCATATTATAAAACCAGTTATGCCATCACCTTTGCTTTTATTATTTTTCGGGAAAAAAAAAAGAAGAAACACGTAATAATAATTGTCTTCCCGGCTAAACAATAGTCAATAGTCACAATATTTTAATTAATTGAAGAAGACATTGTATCATGCTTGCTAAAGGGAATGCAATTGAAATAATAATGATAATAATTTGCAGGGGAGCTCATCGATGGTCAATGCAGTCTTTGAAGACCGAGAAAGAGTGAACAATGTTTGTTACCTAAAAGGCTAAAGAGAGAGGGGGAAAAAAAAAATGTGGGAAAGGAGCTTCGTAAGTCACCTTTCATTATTTTAGCTTTTGAAAATCTAATGCGCACCCATACGCCTTTATTATGCCGGGTCTAGTTAATCAATCATCTTGCTACGTTTGTGGCAAAAAAGCTGCCAATTAGCTTAACTAGGTAGCATCAATGGAGGAGTTTTGCAACTCCAAAACTTTCATCCGGACTATCTCTCATAATTTTTGTCTTTTTCTCAGTTCAAAGAATGAAATAGAGCACTTTTATTCATTCCTATGAGATTAATGTCCTGTTCTTTTCACCGAATTAAGTTTAGAGTTTAAATTTTATTACAGTAAAAAACTCTTAGAAACAGTCACATTTAACTTTTTTATTACAGTAAAAAATTCTCACCTAAAATCATATCTCAACTCGAATTAACGAACTAAACAGACCCTAAAACTCTGATACTCGCACAATAATAAAGGGCATATTCTTTTGTCTAAAAAACTTAAAAAAAGACAACTCAAGTTTTAACTTTATTCAAGTTCACGTTCTTTTAAGTTTCAATTTTATTCAATTTTACTCAACTTTATTCAAGTTCTAACTTCAACTCAAGTTATAACTCAAATTCAACTTAAAAACTACACTCAAGTTATACTCCAAAAAAACAACCCTGAAATCTTAGTAAGCATACGATATTTGCTAATGAAATGGTACTTGCAACATTTCAACAAAGAAGAAGAAGAGCAGTACTAGTAGTTACAACAATCATAACTTCAGTCATGAATAGTAGTAGTTACTAGACTCTTAACTTCAGTCATGAATCCTTATCAATGTTATGTTTACCTTCTCGTACACATTACGCACTTTGATTTAGTAGATATGAAAAACTCCAACTTATACTATGTTTGGTAAGAAGGAAAGAAAATATGATAGAAATAAAATATGAAAGTGATGAAAAATAGTAATGATGGAAAGAAAATAAGTTTATCTTCATTTGTTTGGTATTAAAAGTTAAATTGAGAGGAAATAAAAAATGTTACTCGTAAATTACTTTTATACCCTTAAATTTTTTGTTTGGATATTGATGGAGAAAATGGTAGTTTAGTAACTTTGCTCACTTTAATTAATTGTCTCTATTTTTCACCTCATTTTCTGCCCACTTGTGGAAAGAAGAAAAATAGTGAGACCCACATGTATTATTTTTCACTTCATTTTCTCTTTCTTTCTCTTTTCTCTCATATCAAACAATCTACATTTTAATTTTCTCTCCCAAAATCTCTCCACCTTCTTCCTTCCTTCTACTTTTCTTTCCTACCAAACATACTCTTAATTCATATAATTATTAGAGTTTTAGTGGAACTAGACAGCACAGATATATGATGGAATCACACTCTAATCTATCTCAACCAAAGAATAAAGACGCAAAATGCACCTACATTCTCTCCAACTAGACCCTATTTGATTTAAAAGCATCTCTAATATAATATTATAATTAATGTGTTAATTGTAAATTTAATATTTGAGTACAAAAAATATTCTCTAATTCAATATTATTTTATTGTGTCAAATTTCTCATATGTTATACTTTGTGGTAAATTTCTCACCAAATATAACATGTGAGAAATTTAACATGTGATTATTATTGATTGAAATATTTATTTTTTTCCGTGTACGTAATCAATGCAACTTTTATATTTTTTGATTATTTTAAAAATTAAAGTTTACTTTTACAACTTTTAAAACTTAATAATTATAGAAAAAAATAGATTTAACATTTCAAATAGTATTATGCATTTGAATAAAAATAAAAATAACATACCATATCATGTTTTTTAATGCTAAATATACAATTGACATTAATATTTACATTGGAGATAGTCTTTGATTATAATTTAGAGCCTATATAATGATTACAAATTATTTAAACAATATGAAATAATAGAACAACTTACTTAAATCAACCTTAGTCGTATAATTTAACTATTTTGTTTATTATAATAAATTCTTTATTATATCAATTTTGATATTTTCACATGTCACGTGATTATGAGATAGTTGAATGAAATTTTTATCTTTGGTAAAATAAGAAAATTGACTTAATATGCATGACATGTAAATTTTTATAAGAAAAAAAAATATAAATAACATTCAAATTTTTACTTGTCATGGGTAAAAAACTCTCATTGAGGTACCTTATTATTTTAAATAATCTCATTTGGATATTCTAACTCGTTGTTTTGAGACATAAATAACATGTATAGCCCTAAAAACATATTAAAAAGGAAAAAAATAACATTTCAAAAAAAATCCTAAACAAATAAATAAAAAGTTAAAACATCGTTCATTTCATCGATTTGAGTTTTCAATTTTAGGTTTTTATAGTTAAAAGCTCTTAGAAATTGTCACATCTAACTTTTTTTTGTTACAGTTAAAAGCTTTCAAAAAATGTCACATCTCAACTCGAATTGAAAAGTCGAATCTGCGAAGCGAACGAGATATCTCAATTGCAGGAGGAGGGCTTCGAAGTGTGTCCAACACTACCTCTTCTCGTCCTGAGCACGGTGGACCTCCAACTCTACGCTTCTCTAATGGCACCTCGCTACCCTAAACATTACATGTTAATGTAATCTTAGTTTGACCTAAATATTCTGCTAGTACCATCTTCATTCTCTTTGCGACTCAATAATTGCCATCTCCTTTTCGTGAGCCCCTCAGTGAGTCTCGCTGCTCTCCTCGCATGATCCCTACAACCTTAGCCACGGATCGAGGTGCTGCCCTCCTTGAGCGACCCTATCAACACCACACTTTAGTCTTGCCTTTGGTGTTGGCTTCTACTTTCTCATACCCAATTTAAATTTTGATTTTTTTCCTCATAATTAAATTCCTTCGATTTTTTTTTGGTTTTTATCAATATTTTTATTTTAATTACCATATATTCGGTATATTTTTTATTTACTCAATTTTGTTTTAAAAAATATACAATATTTTTTAAAGTTTTTAACACAATTATTCTCTGAACTTGTCATAGTTTAACAATTGCATCATTTTTATAAGTTTGGAGAGTTTGATTGCCAACATTAAAAGTTTAAAATATGGCATATTGTAACAAATTTATAAATTGAGGGGGTAACTGTCAAAATTAAAACTTCAGGAGTAAATTGATAAAACCATACAAATTTTAAAAATAAATGTGTAAAATATTTTTTTATTTAAAAAGATAAATAAATTATTTTTTCACGTTTTAATAATTAAGCTGATTAGAGTATTCGTATGATATTTATTTAAATAAATAAGAAATCTTATAGTGAGATTTTTACAATAGTACCGATTCGAGAAATTATTAAACAACCTTAAAAATTATGATGCAAAATCATTAGTGCTTTCACCCACATCCCACAAAAATTATCTCTTTTCGGAGGAAGGAAAAGAAAAAAAAAAAAAAAGAACAGAAATAGTAATAGAAAGAATGCGAGGAAAAGAGAGCGACAAAGGAGCAAATTGGTCCAACCAGATTGACGTCGGCAGAATAGACTCCCCACATTCAAAGGTCATTGTCGTGATTTCCTTCAAACAGTTAGGCCCTTTCTCTAACAGCTAAACAAAAGCAAAAGAAAGTCCGGGCCAAAAAAAAAAAGAAAAAAAAGAAAAAAAAAAAGAGAAAGAGAAAGCGAAAAGAAAGTCCAGGCCAAAAAAATAAAATAAAAATATTAATTAATTAAAAAAAAGAAAAGAAAAAAAAAGAGGAGAGAGAGAAAAGGAGCTGGAATCACATGGGCATGTTATGTTGTTTGTCTCTAGGCTGGGTCCTCTTCTCTCTCCCTCTCTCTCTCTCTCTCCCTCTTCTTCCTCTAACCACCATCTCCATCTCCATCACTCTGGTCATGAGCTTCTTCGCCACCATCTTCATTTTCTCCACCTAATCTTCCCCTAAGATTCCCCCCCTCTCTCTCCTCTCTCGCCGGACCGGACATGGCTGACGACAAGGTACTTTCTTTTTTACTTTTCCTTTTCCTTTTCTTTTCCCGGAAAAACCACATCTTTCCTGGAAAGTTTCGCCCTAGGTTGCCCGGCAAAGAGATTTCAACCCATTCCTTTGTGCTTTGCTCGAATGGATGCGTTGCTAAATTAGGAAATGAGGATCGGAATTGTTTGGTTTGATTTTGGGTCAGAGATTTTTGTTTTTATGTTTGTTTTCTTCGGCGATCTCGTCGCTGAGCTTTTCTCGGAGACTATTTGTTGACATTACTGGGGTTATTCGTCTTGATCTGTGCTCTAACCGGGGTCTTTGTTGAGTTAGCTTCCTTCCTTTCTATCTTTCTTTTTCTCCCGATCTGTGAGTTTGAGCTTCTTTTTGCTCTAGGGTTTGCTTCGCTTTCTTTTTTACGTGTTTGATTTATTTTCTTCTCGAGATTACTTGAGATTGGAATATTCTTATCTTAGCTAATAGTTTTGGATCGCACTGTTAAGTTAAATTACGGGCGATTTTGTGCTTTATGGTTTTCTCTTGACCAACCTTTCTGTGTCTCTGATTAGCTTTATCTTTTGGGTTTTCTTGTGATGCTCTTTAAATCTGGGTAGGATTTGATTAATCAGGTTGATCGTTTTTAAATTTTACCCTTTATTAGTCTATTTGGTTAGTTCATGTTCATCTACTTTAAATATGGAAAATTTCTAGGTTTGTGATTCTTTCTTGGAAATCTATCATTATTTCATTTGCATTTTCTATTCTTCTTTCCTTGGGCTATTTTATTTTCCCTCACATCTCAAGGGATCTCTTTGGACTTACATTTCCAGCTCTTAAGCTTATATATATGATTAAACTATGTCTATTGTAGCTTGTTTAGACCACTCCTTTATTTCCTCTTTTGTCAGCCCCTGTTCACTAGTGAATTGTCATATAATGATGCTAAATATATTTGGATTCTTGTTGAATTTGCTATACTATATCGCAGCCCTTCCCTTATATGATGTTGCTATGTTCTATATCAGGAGATTTCTGCCTCGATTGTGGATGGAAATGATTCAGTCACTGGGCACATCATTTCAACGACAATAGGAGGAAAAAATGGAGAACCCAAACAGGTTCTGCTTCCTGTCAATGAATATTGCGATGAAAATAGAATATGTTAGTTGATTTGTTTTGGATCTAGATGGTTTGATAGCCGTCTAGCTTTAGTTTCCTTCCCCTGGGAAGTTGATATTTTTGATGTCTTCTTGTAGACCATTAGTTACATGGCAGAACGAGTTGTGGGGACTGGGTCATTTGGCATTGTTTTCCAGGTTTGGCGTCGAAAAGATCTTTTCATTTAGCTGTCTTATTACCAATTTATCAACTGTATCTCATCTTAGTAAATCGTATGTTTGCTCTCTTAGGCAAAGTGCTTGGAAACTGGCGAAACTGTGGCCATCAAGAAAGTATTGCAAGACAGGAGATACAAGAATCGGGAACTGCAGTTGATGCGTGTTATGGATCACCCGAATGTTATTTCGTTGAAGCATTGTTTCTTTTCCACTACAAGTAAAAATGAACTTTTTCTTAACTTGGTTATGGAATATGTCCCGGAGACCATGTATCGGGTTGTGAAGCATTATAGTAATGCAAATCAGAGAATGCCACTTATTTATGTCAAACTTTACATGTACCAGGTACAGATGATGTCCACTACATTTGTTTTTTTTTTTTCAACTTGTGCTTGATATCTTTCCTGACGTGAATTTGGGCATGGCATGCCTTCCAGATATTTAGGGGGTTGGCTTATATACACACTGTTCCTGGAGTTTGCCATAGAGATTTGAAGCCTCAAAATATTTTGGTATATGCTCTTCACTGATTGTAAACTCAGATAAAAATTGTTGGCTATAGTCATCTCTAATTTTTTGAAAACATTATCTTCTGTGTGCAGGTCGATCCTCTTACACACCAAGTTAAACTGTGTGATTTTGGAAGTGCAAAAATGCTGGTATGTTGACCTGCTAATCTCAGTTCTGTAATAGGCTTATGCCACTTCCTAACAAGTACCTCCACCATATCTTTGATGCTGCTGGATATGATGCTTTTGCAGAGGACCTAGTTATTATGCATAAGATAATTCTGAAACATCCATTGTATGATGATCTTAATTTGTACCTACTCCCCGTCATACCACATGGTGCTAGTGTTATGAATAGTCCTCCAAAATTATTTCCATCTTTCTATATAATTTTCACAAACTCACCATATATATGTTTTTCTGCAGATCAAAGGTGAAGCCAACATATCATACATTTGCTCACGTTTCTATCGGGCTCCCGAGCTTATATTTGGGGCTACCGAATATACAACTTCAATTGATATCTGGTCAGCGGGTTGTGTCCTTGCAGAATTGCTTTTGGGCCAGGTTGGCATATCGATTATAGCATTCTAAGCATCGGTTTTGGTGTTATTAAAAGCAGCCAAGTTCCCTAGTGGCTCGATGTTGTCTTACTCTTTTTTGTATGATTTTAGCCATTGTTTCCCGGAGAAAATGCAGTGGACCAGCTGGTAGAGATTATCAAGGTCAGTTTACTAATGAGTGGCTGAAAGCATTTTAGCTGAAAGCATTTTAATTGTTATCCTTATGGTCATGTGTAACTTCTTTCATTTTGTCCTCAGGTTCTTGGCACGCCAACGCGTGAAGAAATTCGTTGTATGAATCCAAGTTATACAGACTTCAGGTTTCCTCAGATAAAAGCACACCCTTGGCACAAGGCAAGACATCTTTTATTGGGGTCGTACCATGATGGCAATAATTATATTCTTTCTCGTTTCTCCTATAATCACATTGAAATATTGTCCAGGGTCTTACGGCACAAGTACTTTACTCTACCCCCGCCCTAAAAGACTCTAATCCTCTATTACTCCTTCATTTCAGGTTTTTCACAAGCGGATGCCCCCAGAAGCAATTGATCTGGCTTCACGACTGCTGCAGTACTCTCCTAGTCTCCGCTGCACGGCAGTAAGTTAAACCCACTATAATTTAGTGCTTGCAGTTCTAGTTCAGACTTGCTAGAGATAGTTTCTATTTTCTATTTTTATTTATTTAATTTATCATTTTTTTTCCAATCTCAAGGTGTAAAATGTGTGTCCTAACTTTTTTTTTTCCCCTTTTCATTTTGCATATTGCATGTTTGCATGTTCTTTAGCTGCTTAGCAGCTAAAGTATGGATTTGTTAGTTTTTCATTTTCACGTTCAGTACCGATGGATATCTTTAGTCTGCTTAATGCTTGCTATTTTATCAAATTCGTCTTTTAATTCATTTTTTCGTTTTCCTCTTAATGAATAATGAATTGTTAGTTAATTTTTTATGTTCTCATTTTATTGTGTGTTTTTTATATTGCTCCGATTTTTACTTAGTTTTGCTTTGTCATTGCAGCTTGAGGCATGTGCTCATTCTTTCTTTGATGAACTACGCGAGCCAAATGCTCGCTTACCAAATGGTCGCCCACTTCCACCTCTCTTCAACTTTAAACAGGAAGTATGTTGTCTATCTCTATTTACTTTTTAAGTTCTATATGTATGAATCCAGGAGATGCCTTCAGTAACAAGCATAAATGTATCATGCTTATTGAGGATTATCCAAGTGTACATAGAACCGTACATGATATCTTCGTATTTGCATATCAAGTCCAAAGGAGCTGCATTCTTTTAGTCGACTGTTAATTTAGCGATGTAGTCATTCTGGGGGTTGGGTGGTGTAGTTTCTGGGTAATTACTCAAATCATCCGAGTTTTCCTGCATTCGTTGGTTAAAATTTGGGAACTTTTTTCTGATAAGTTCTTCGTCTTTCTGTCATTGATTTTCTATCACTAACCAGACTCATAATTTTTGTTACAGTTGACCGGAGCTTCGCCGGAACTTGTTAATAAGTTAATACCTGAGCATGTGAAACGCCAACTAGGACTAAATTTCTTGCATCTGGCTGTGACGTAAATGTGAAGAAAAGTCATATGAAGTGGATAGTTTCCAGTTGATGTGCGGCAAGAGGGTTGCCATCGTTGTTGTTAAAATCACTATATATTGTGGCCCAACCAGCATCATTTCCTGCTCTACCAGATGAACCCGGAACGAAAGCGGCTGTACGGCTGCATTTTCTTACTAGGTTCATCTCTACGTTCTCTCGCTTATCCCCATTTTCTTACTAGGTTCATCTCTACGTTCTCTCGCTTATCCCCATCTTCACTCCTTTCTCGAAATACCTTTTTGTTTTTTCTGTACATGTTTGATAGTAAAGATAGCCCGAGTTGGAAATGGTAAGAAGGCTGCTAGCAAGAGGAAGAAAACCTAGTCGAAGTGTATGTATACTAGGAAGAGGGCCCCTAATAGTATGGCTGACTAAAGAGGGATGTACTTGGTTGTCTTCAATGTTGTTTCTTATTATTAGTTCTGAGGTGGTTTGTGGTGGCTGACTTGAAATTGCGGACAAAACTTTGTTACTTACTGTTTGTGCAAACTTAAAAAGTAATGCATTGTTCTCTACTTAAATCTTTCTCCATTCCAAGGTATCACCAACTCTGCTCTTTTGATAGTATTTTATTTTTTTAATTTTAATTTTTTTTTTGAAAAAGCTTTCTTGATAGTTGATAGACTTAAAATTGTTCTTTTGTATTTCTAAATTCCTTCCTTTAAATGTGCTACGGCAACTATCTTTTGGGTTCTACCAAAAAAAAAAAAAAAAAATTAGAATCCTTCTTAGCTGTTAGGTATTGAAATAATTTGCAGTCAAACCAGAAAGGGGAAAGTAGATTTTAAGAGACGTTTGGAGATGCTCAAATGGGTGCAATGTTATTGACTAGAGGAGCTTCTAGGAGAAATATCCTGATGTGTCTCTCTCCTAACTAGAATTTAGCACCAAGTACATTCAATTTCTTCTTATCCTGTGATGTATTTTTTGCCTGTAATTGGGAGCCATCCAATGTCATCTCTTAAAACTCATGTTTTACAAATTTCATTTGATTTTTTTTTTTTTTTTTTTTTTTTTTTTTAAAAAATTAAATTAAAGGAAAAAAAAACATTAAGAGAAAACATATTGAAGCCAGATAATATTTCCAAAAAAAAAAAAAAAAAGAATAAGAACACCCACCCTTGTTATCTTGTTAATATCCTAAGTGGAAGTGTGAAAGGAAAAAAAAAGGTCGTTTTGGGAAGAAGTGTAGATGTCGTTTGACCTCCGGAAAGCCCATATACCAGTAGCAATAAATTGGCCCCACAAGCGAGCTTTCCGAGACGTAGACTATAAATTTTCTACTCCTCTACTCCAGTAATACCATAACTAACTTGCACCCTCGTATTCTGACTAGCCTTTGAACGCACGAGTATTGGTACGTCGTAAATACCGCTAGAGGGGTCAAACTTGATAAGGTTAACGGCTGAAGAGTGTTTGAGTATTAGAATCCTACTCCCGACCACACGTAATCTATAACCATTTAACTCAGGACCACAATCTGTGTACTTCTCAGATCTCGAGATGTTTTCCTGGATTTAAGATCATCAACCAAGTTTTCTACTTTTTTTTTTTTTTTTTCCGTCAATTATTTTGGATTCTCGAGACAACAAAAAAAAGGAGCAAAAAGCCAATAGCCATGAATCCCCATGATATATATCAGAAAAGAAAATAAAAAAAGAGAATAACCAGGAGGGGGTTCAGTCAAATCCCCCACTCCACAGAAGAAGCACTAAAACATTGAGAATGAAGGCCGGTTGGATTGGTTTTAAAAAAAAAAAGTTGTTTTTAATTATTTAGTTTTAAAAAATAAGTTGTTTTTAATTTATTTAGTTCAAAAATTACTTTTAAATATGTTTAGATGGTTAATTTTAAAGTGTTTTTTAAGTATTTTTAAAATAAATTATTTTCTTAGTGTTTATAAAAAACATTTTTATTTTTATTTTTAATCTTTTATTTGTAAAAAATAAATTAAATATTCTATTTATATCTTTTTATTATATTACTTTTTATAATAATAAGTGTTTTTAATTTTTTTTACTTAAGTAAATTTAAAAATTCTTTTTAAATATAAAATATTTTTTCAAACATGATAGAAACACTAATTAAAAAACTCTAACTTATATTTATCTTTTTTTACTATTTAAAAGTAATATTCGAAACGGGCCTTGCATTAAATTAAATTAAATTAAAAGATCCCTACTCTCAAAAAGCTTCCCTTTGTCCGGTTGCTTTGCTCTGTTTTGCCCTTTTCTTCTCTTGCTCGCTTCACTTTGCCTGTCCATTTTTCCACAAATGATAATGATGACGAAACACATAAAGGTTTCCTTTTGGCTTTTCTTCTTCTTCTTTCACTGCTTCTTTGCGGCCTCCGTTAGTGCCGCTGACAGCCTTCTCTCTCCAAAGGGTGTCAACTATGAAGGTTTTAGCTTAGTCCTCTGAAAAACCCAAAACCCATATCTTACTTTTTCCGCTTTTTTCTTTTTATATACATTTTTCAAAATTTTCTGTTATTTTATCTTAACTTTTTTTGTTTTGTTTTTTGGTTTGGAATAATGCAGTGGCTGCATTGATGTCGTTGAAGAGTAAAATGAAAGATGAACTGCAAGTGATGGGTGGTTGGGATATAAACTCCGTTGATCCATGTACTTGGAACATGGTCGCTTGCTCTCTTGAGGGCTTTGTTATTTCCCTGTAAGTGTTGAGAGTTATTCTTCTCATTGGGATTCAAACGGTGAGACTAATAGGCTTTTTGACAAATGGGTGTTATTGAAAACCAAAGTCAATTGCTTTTCCCACTTTGTTCTATAATCGGTTTATATTTGATGGCATGCCCAGGTATCTGATTTTTTTTATTATTGTTATTAATATCTTATATAACCATTGCTAGTGAAATGACGAGCGTGGGCTTATCGGGAACTCTTTCTCCAAGCATTGGCAATCTAACTCATCTCAGGACAATGTAAGTCTCTATCTTGTACTCTTGAACCTTTGGTTTTCTTTGTTTAGCTTTCGAGGTATTGATTCTTTGTTTATAAAATTTGGACCACTCATGTTTAAGTGACTTTATATGGCTAGCTTATCATTTTAAATGTCAATTGACTAAGCAAGGCGCTTAAGAAATGATTCGAGGCAGGGGAATTCAATGACAATGAGCCTATTTGTATATTGGGAGTGAAATGAAATATGCCAATGGTGCTTTGAAGTATGTTAAGAATGTTGAGTTGTGTAGAGCTTAATAATACCAATTCGTTTTTCTCACCGACCATAGTTTGACCTAATTTAGGAATTATAGGCATTTTGAATGTATATCAATCTGCTCCAATTCTCGCGATGTATTAAGGATTTTGAGGGCAGTCGTTTTCTGTAGAGAAAAACAAAGAGGCTCGGAAACATTTCAAGAGTGGTTTGTACTCTGTATTTCTTCCTTTCATTATAGTGAAATTCGGCAACAACAAGTGGACGTACTTCTCACATTGAGACCACTATAAGTCTTGTGGGTGCTCTGTTTATTTTTGTTCTTCTTCTCGTTATTCTGGTTGCTCTAGATCTAGAATAGTAGGAATTAGGACATTTAATTGCTAATGCCTAGTTTCTTTTGGTCCATAGCAAACATAGGAGCATGTTTTGGATACATAGCGAAGTGACGAAAGTAAAAGAATTGAATGTTTTCATGTGATTTATCTTTGGATTAATTCTATAAATGCCCTTGAACTTTGTGCCTTGTTTCAACATGCCCTAGAATTTTGACAAGGGTTCATTTCGCCCCCTAAAGTATGAAAAATGGTTCAAAACACCCCCTGAACTAATGTTATCTCATAAATGCTTCATGAATTATTGATTTTATGTAAACTTGCCGCCCGATCTTTTAAAAAATCAGGGGGTGAGTTGAAACAAAAGTAATAATTCATGGGGCAAGTTGACTTAAAATCAATAGTTCAGGGGCATTCATAGAAATATAAGTATCACATCTTCATTTTGATAGTTTTATAAATGCAGGGGGTATTTTGAACCCTTTTTCAAAATTCGGGGGCATATTGAAACATAGTACAAAGTTCAGGGGGCATTCATGAAATTAATACTTTATCGTTTATTCTTCATCTGCATTATTTGAAAAATAAGCGAATAAAACTAATAATGGTGCAAGACGTTTTCAAATTCACAAATAGATGCAAAATTTTCAATTACTGCAGGCTGTTGCAGAACAATCAGATAACTGGTCCTATCCCATCAGAGATTGGAAAACTTTCAGAGCTTCATACTCTTGACCTCTCCGGCAACCAGTTTGATGGAGAAATCCCCAGTTCTTTGGGATTACTGACACATCTAAGTTACTTGTGAGCATGGCTTTAAATACATTCAGTACTCTCATTCCAAAATGGTCCAAATAAATTGTTTTCTTTAGTAATTGATTTTCATATTGTCTTTCATTCTAACCAATGATGTGTTGGACATTTCAATGCCAAGTTTTTCAGGCGGCTTAGCAGAAACAAGTTGAGCGGACCAATTCCTAAACTTGTTGCGAGTCTCACAAGCCTATCATTTTTGTACGTGTTCTATCAAATTTTGACTTTATATTATTCTTTTTGAATAGTTTAGTGCAAGTCTAATTTTGATATCCACACCACATAGGGATTTATCGTTCAATAATCTGAGTGGACCAACTCCTAAAATACTTGCTCAAGCCTACAGGTAAGATCTATAAAAACGTTGAAAGAGATTCTGTTTCATAACCTAACAAAAGTGTCTTGTCTATTGTCATCAGTGTTTTTTTTTTTTTTTTTTCCTTTTTTTGTCAACGTTAATTCAATATTTGATGGTCAAATTCTGATATTCTGTAGAACAAATAAATAAAACAAAACTCTTATTATTGAAAAAGACTAGTACTTGCAAGTAATGCAGATTATTATAAAATGTAGGCATATGAAACTTTAGCAGAAAAAAAAATGTAGATAGTTGATGCCCTTCTCTGATGTGGTGCAGTCTTTATATTCATCGTAATATACTCACATAGATGCTTCAAGTAGATTTACCAAGTCCTAATATTCCTATACATAATGTATTCTATATTTACTCATGTATCTGTTGGACGGTTTAAATATTTCATTGCAGTATAACAGGGAACAGCTTCCTCTGCAGTCCGTCAGGTCAAATTTGTATGGGCGTTTCAAAACCCGTCAATGGTAATACAGATACATCTTCTCAGATCTGTTTGCTATTTTTTGCTGCGTCAATGCAGTTAAACATGTTTGCTTTCGGTTTTTATCAATATTTATCTGAGATTTTTTTTCCTTTTTGGGAAATTGTTGATAATGCATCCATGATGATTTAAATTGCAGATACAAGTTCACCACCAATAGCTGGTGGCCACCGCCGATGGGTGCTTTCTGTTACCATCGGCATTAGTTGCACATTTGTAATTTCTGTGATGCTGATTGTTTGTTGGGTGCATTGGTACAGATCTCGTCTTCTCTTTATGTCTTATGGTACTTCCCAACTATGCTTGTACATTTTTTTTTTAAACCAATTGAATACATGATGATAAAGATTTGGAAAAAATGGTAACCGTCCAATTTCAGTGCAGCAAGATTACGAATTTGACATCGGTCATTTGAAGAGATTCTCGTTCCGGGATCTGCAAGTTGCTACTAGCAAATTTAGTCGCAAAAACATCTTAGGGCAAGGTGGATATGGAGTTGTTTATAAAGGATATCTTCCAAATGGGTCGGTGGTGGCGGTTAAGAGGCTGAAAGATCCAAACTACAATGGAGAAGTGCAGTTTCAGACCGAAGTTGAGATGATTGGCTTGGCTTTGCATCGAAACCTCTTACGTCTATATGGATTTTGTCTGACACCTGATGAGAGGTTGCTTGTTTATCCTTATATGGCAAACGGCAGTGTTGCTGATCGCCTAAGGGGTTTGTTTCGCTTACAACTTTTTTGTTCTTGAATCTTTTGTTGTTTATGAGATGGTTGACTTTGTTTGTTTTGCATAATTAGCATGTTTTCCCTTGAAGTTATATGCATTGTGTGTAGTAATTTTGCTCCCCTAAAATTTTAAACCAGATTTCAAGTACTGCACTCTTTTCCATCTGTGCTAGTAGTGCCTTATGAGCTTAATTTCATTGACAGACACTTGTCGTGAAAGACCATCCCTGGACTGGAGCAGAAGGCTGCAAATTGCCCTTGGGACGGCTCGCGGGCTACTTTACTTGCATGAACAGTGCAACCCCAAAATTATTCACAGGGATGTGAAAGCAGCAAACATTTTGCTTGATGAAAGTTTTGAAGCCATAGTTGGGGATTTCGGACTTGCAAAGCTGTTAGATAGGAGAGATTCTCATGTCACTACCGCAGTGCGGGGTACAGTAGGACACATTGCCCCGGAATATCTTTCAACAGGACAGTCATCAGAAAAAACTGACGTTTTTGGATTTGGCATACTACTTTTGGAACTCATAACTGGACAAAAGGCATTAGATGCTGGAAATGGTCAAGTTCAGAAGGGAATGATTCTAGAATGGGTAAGTTTGTTTAGTTTACCAGAGCTGAACTTAATTTCATGTATATGCTTGTACCTATGTGGCTTTAATGAAATGATTGATAGAATGTACATGTTGATCTAATAACAATGTCACAACTACTGTTTATCTTGTATTAAAACCATATTCCCCAATGTTTGCATAAACTAAATGTCCCAAATAAGATGGTTCATTTATACAGGTAAGAACCTTGTATAGTGAGAAGAGGCTGGAAGTGTTAGTAGACAGAGATCTCAAAGGATGTTTTGATCCAGACGAGCTCGAAAAATCAGTGGAGTTGGCTCAACAATGCACTCAGTCAAACCCCAACCTCCGTCCGAAGATGTCGGAGGCCTTGAAGGTTTTGGAAGGTCTTGTTGGACGGTTGGCTCCAGCAGAGGAATCACACAGTGGAGCAAACCCTGTTGAGGCTAGGGCTTGCAATAGTTTCTCCAAGAATTTCAGTGACGTTCACGAAGAATCTTCCTTTATCATTGAAGCCATGGAGCTTTCTGGGCCTCGGTAACAACTATAGTTTCCAATTTCAAATTAACTTCAACTGTAAATGAATTTTGAGTACATAATTAGTGTGCAACTGTATCCTTTAGTTGTGGTTGGTGATTTGAATGCTTGTCCTGTTGGCGACATAACAAAAGCTTACTTTGCTTGTGTTTCCAGCTTCTTATTTGGTTTCTCCAAGTCTTTCAGCATAGAAAAGCTAACTTGACTTGAATGCTAGTTGATAGTTCTTTGTGTGAATAACTAGTCATTTATTTTTTAACTTCTTTTTCGTCTTTAAATTATGCCCTTTTCCTTCTCTCTTTTCCTGATGTAAACCAAGGGTGAAAATATCTCTATACCGAAATTTTTTGAAAGAACGAAATATCCAAAAATCAATGACTTGTGTTAACATTGATGGCGATTCTTGCTGCAATTTCTCAATGATATTTAATGTATGCATTGTGTGGCATAGCGCCATTTCCTTCCACAGGCTGACGACTTTTGTACGTATCTTTTGAAACATATTTGTCTAATTAAATCAAAAAATCAATTCTTAAACTCCAAGCAATCTACAAAATTGACCAGCTTAGCAAGAGTTAAACAATATGTTAAATCACTGTTTACATGTGGAGGAGAAACTTCATAATGCAGCTTTCTTAAGGAACTGAAACTTCGCATATAAACAGGTGACTTCATTGATGGCTAAATGGATGACACATTCAACTGAAATCATGTGCCTCGGGGAAGGCCAATCAATGTCTGTTTGTGACCCTAAAGAATGAAGAATTGAAATACCCTTTTACCAAACTCAAAGGCCAATGCACAAGTATTGGTTAGCAGTTGGAACTCAAGCATACAACTTATATATATATATATATAAAAGAAACTTAAGCATACAACTTGCAAAACTTAAGCATTCAACTTGCAATGCCGGCCTTTTGATTTTCGTCCTCTTTAGACCCTAGTCTTTGCCCTTAATTATAGTTGGCGATGTGTACACTTTCACAACATTTATTCAAGTAGGACAAACCTTCACTAATTCCTAACCCCACTTAAGACGTCTCCTACAAAATACATAAATAAATAAAGAGTAAGGCAAGGGAAAGTAATGTCATGCCCATATTTATTCTTCTTTTCTATATTCCCTCAATGAGAAAAATCCTTAACTTTTCTCGGTTTGGGTAGGATTGGCATAATTCAATAATGGACTCAAAGCATAACAACTTCAGAAGGAATGAATCAATGCATATAGAAATGAGGAAACCAACATGGAATATGTTCTTTCATTTTATAATTTATATGCATACTATATCTTTATAGTTAAATGTTATAATTTATATGCATACTATATCTTTATAGTTAAATGTAAAAAAAAAATCATGTTAGTATTTTATCAAACGTGGTTGATTTAATAATTTGTAGTCATAAAAGGATACCAAAGAGAAAAGTAAAATTCTCATGATGTTGTGAACACATAACATGACAGGTCATTTAAGAAGTCACAATCAGAATATACAAAAAAAAAAAAAAAAAAAAAAAAAAAAAAAAAAAAGAAAAGTAGAGTTGGTGTTTTCCCATTAAAAGAAAAGGTCAATGGCTTTTCCAGTTGGATAATCGAAAGCCAAACATTCAACATATAATATGACGTGGAATATACAGTTTTCAAATATTCCTTCTTTTCACTGGATTCTTTTATTTGTTTGCAGTCATTCCTTATAATCATACCAATTTCCTTTTGTGGGAAGTATACCACAAATCATGTGATTGATGTATAGCTATTACCAATTAAGGGGGGGAAAAAAAAACAGTATTTATCTATCAAGATACATAGTCAATAACTATTTTCTTTGCTGAAAATAGATTTTAAAATATGATGCTCAGTTTCACACCCTAAGCATCTTATCCCATCCCATTAGAAGCTTTCTTAGCATAAAATTCACTCAAAGGCATGCAATCTGAATCTCAATATAATAAGATCGAAATATTATTTAGAGAGAGAGAGAGAGAGAGAGAGATGGAAGGGTTCCTGGTAATTTCCTAGATTCCAAACTTTTTTCGGAGGAAGTATTCAAGACAGAAGACTTTTTACATAATGGACTGTTTTTCTCTCATTTTTGCTAGTAATGCGCGTTGTCATATATAGTACATCTTATCAAAACTCAACTGGAATGATATATATCATGAAAAGTTTTATCATGAATATTATGGTAGTAGAACTTTCAATCTCAAAAAAGTAAACGAGCAATAAACACATCTTTAAAAATAAAAATAAAAATTTATTAAGCAAAAGTGTTACCGTCAGAAAAAAGAAAAGAAAAAAAGAGAAGTGTTAAAGTTATTATTATTATTATATTTTTTAGAGGATTAGAAGTGTCAACTACCCTAAAAAGGGTAATGCGAGTTCTATAGAAATAAAATTACCATGCCATTTAAATGATAACACTTTTATATTTATATCACCCAGTAGCGAAAAATTTAATATCTATGTCATTCAATCCAATTGGAAAATCTAATATATTGAAGTTCAATAACATAAATATAAAGTTTTTAATTTGAATGACATACTATGCAATTTTCTAAACCGAGTGATAAGTATATCATTTTCCAAATAAAAAGGGAATATAAATTGTGAAAAATTTCATCATTTTGTCTTGTTTTAATTATATACAACAAGTACATTCATAATTTTATAATGTGTTGTGAAAGTGGACACTTTTTTTTTGTTTTTTATGGCGAGAGTATCTGACAAATGCAGAAAACGGTTATTTGAGACCCTTCGTTTAGAAAATGCCCATTGTTTATCTTTCTTGTCCTGCCCTCCTAAACAGATTTGATTATTTTATTTCAATTTTTTATTGTTACATTTTCTTATTTTTTACGTTAAGATAGGTATTACCCATAATAAGGACAAAAGTTGGAGTGTTGGGAGGGGATTAATTATCACAAATTGAAATTATATAATATAATTGAGAAAGTGACATGGCCAAGGATTATTATTTTGGTTTGACCAAAACACAGGACAGGAGACAGGCGATCTTATTTTGCTGTAAACAGCCCCAAAACGCAACGATATTTACATTGGTCTCTATTATTTCCATCTGTCACGGCACAAACACATTTGTCTGTCACACTGACAATATTATCGACACAGACAATGACCTTGCCAACAAGTTCTCCCATTCAAATTGTTACCCACAAGTTTTCCCAAATGGAGTATTATTTATTTCATTAAATAAATACGGTTTGGATAAAGCTCAGGTTTTGACTATTGGGTACAATTTTTTTTACCGAAACAAATCAGAATCATTATTAATTAAATTAAATCACAATTTTCTTTTGCTAAAAAAAATAAATATCTAGTGTCATCCCGTTTCTCATCACTATCGTGTATGAAAATGAATCTCGAAGCCACCATTATAACAAAAATGACCTAATCTAATTTAAGAAATAAATCAATTGTCACTATGAGTCTGACGGAGCACGATTAATTGATTAGATACGACTTCTAATTAGGACTATTGATCATAGAATCTTAGCATATTTTGAGAGGAAAAGAAGGGAAAACATTCTACTACTGCATCATCCAATTGAGAGTAAAAATATGTATTAAAAACTGTGTTTTAAGATATTTCCTTAATACCCATCAAATAATTATTCTTATTTGTTTACTCACTCTATTGAAAAAAAAAAAAAAAAGGAAAAAAAAAAAAAAAAAAAAACAAATAACAACGAAAAACTACTACTGCATCATCCAATTGAGAGTAAAAATATGTATTAAAAACTGTGTTTTAAGATATTTCCTTAATACCCATCAAATAATTATTCTTATTTGTTTACTCACTCTATTGAAAAAAAAAAAAAAAAAGGAAAAGAAAAGAAAAGAAAAACCAACTAGCAACGAAAATGGTCATGGATTACGTGTGAAAATTCTCTGCACCTGCATTGAAGTCATCATCAGCAAATGGGGAGGCACAATACAATATGTTAAACAAACAAACAAACAATCCAAAGTTAAAACTCCTATATAAATCTTCATTGACTTAGCTATTAATCTCTTGTAAGTTTTAGCGCTTAACTTGGTTCGTAAAATCTCATTTTCCCGTTCCTTTCTTCACCTAACACCTCCCAGTTTCTTTAGTACGTGTTAAAGATACATTTAATCTCTCAACCCCTTTTTTTTGCGGAAAATGAAATCAAACACTTGGTGAAGTTGGATATGGAGAAAACCCCAGATCCGAAGCTCGTCGGAGCTCAATTTCTGGGTTTGCAAAATCCCGGTTTTGCCTTCTAATCGAGAGCTATTTTCACTGGAAAAGGTTCGGGTCTCTCTCTCCCTCTCTCTCTCTCTCTTATTTATTATTTGTTCTTTTATTTTTCTAGTTTTAGCTGTTGGATTTCCTTTTATGTCACCCCAGATTATCGGAATGAATTCAATTTATTTTTGTGTGATGATATTGTAGATTGTGGATTAGAGATACAAACACACGTGGGTCAATCAGTGATTTGGTTAAGTTACAACCATTTATCTTATTGATTGACTTGCCTAAAGGGGAAATAAAAATGTTGGTTTTTCGATTGGGTTCATTTGTATGCATATTCGACTCTTGGTTAGCAGTTTTTAGTTTGGAGTTTGGGAATTGATTAAAATTAGGTGTGTATTCTTTTGGGGTTTTGTGCAATTGGGAATTCTTTTGGTGGTGAAGAAGACTCTTTAGAAGAGTTATGGATGAGGAGGAACATGATCCGCAGAGTAGTAATGAGGTTTTGAGTCGAGATGACCGAAGGGCGAAGGAGAATTCGAGTGATTTTGTTGATGGATCGGCCGTTGAGACCATCACTGCGGTTAAAAAGGAGGAGAGAGCGTGTCATAGCGAAGAAAACAAAGATTTGGAGCTAAGGGGTTGTGAATTGGGGTCAACTAATGGAGTTGAACAAGGAACTATTGCAAATCCAACCAATTCGGGTGTTCGGGTGGTTGTTGAGGCTTCAGTTGTGATCAGTCCCTCTGAGGCTCCACTTGTGAGTGGAGATAACAGGGTGTTGAATGCAAAGGTTGATGAGTTGGGGTTGAGTATAATGTCTGTGGAAGAGTCGAAGAGTAAGATGTCTGAATCTGAGAAGCAATCGTGCGTGATCGATATAAGCTGCGGAAGTGCCAAAAGTTGTGGTGATAAATGGGATGGTGAAAGGATTTGCAGGATTTGCCATTTGAGTTCTGATCAATCACCGGATAGAAGAACCACGACAACTTCTGTTGCGGATTTAATTCATCTTGGTTGCGGGTGTAAAGATGACCTGAGCATCGCACATTATCAGTGTGCAGAAGCTTGGTTTAAGGTGAAGGGCAACAGGTAAGATTTCATTTTGTTTTTGAAATGACATCCAATTTTATGGCTCAAGAATCCCTGGAAATATGAACTTTTGGGAACTTTTTATTTGTGGTGCACATACACAGACACTTTTAGTTAATATTGCTTGTAAAGAAAAATGTAGTATGAAGATCAAATTGCATTTGTAGCTGACTTACTTTTGTATTTTCTAAACTTAATCTTGATTTGACAATTACATATATGGATTTTTCCTGGTTTTAGACCGTCCTTAGGGGTGCTAAAACTTGCAAAAACAAAAGCTCTTGCTTCCGAGGCACATTTTTTGTTGTAGTTTTTCCTTCTGTTCTGCTTTAGCAGTTTTCTTTTTTTTCGATGAAAAGAATAGAGGAATGAATAGTAGTAATAACTTTCAATGTCCAGAAAAAGAAAAGTGAGCAGTAAGTTTTATTTCAACTCTTCAAATTCCAAGTATATGTAATAAACAAATTAACATATCATGTTGACAAATTAGAGGCTGTGATACACATGTAGGCTCCCAAACTTGTGTCAGTATGCATGTTTATGTTTCTATTTTTGTTTATGAAAATATTGACATGATTTTGCTGTATTTTAGTAGAGATAAAGGCTTGATTTATTTTTTTACAACTTGCATGATGGTTGGAGTTTTTTAAACACAAAAACTGATGAATGGCTTAATGTTACCCAGACTTCTTTCTTCTCTGGCGGAGCGCTGAGAAAATCACAGGTAGCAGGTGACTACAATTCTCCTGCTGCTGAGTGCTGACTTGGCCCTTTGCTGATTCAGGAGCTTCTTCTGGTTTTGGATTGCATATATAACAAAATCAAAAGAAGCAGACTGGATTTCTGTTTTCCTTTTCTTTTCAAGTGGGGGGGAACTTTTGTTAAATGGGATGTGATTAACTTTTACTGGTACTCAATCTTGCAAGTAGATGGACTTTTTTGTAGTTCTGTGGTTAAATCATGAATCCGATTTGTTTTTGGGCTAACCCATTTTCCCCGACATATCTCAAAATTATTGAACAGAGAATACTCTCTTGGGAATTTCACATGGATTTCTTTCTTATTCTGTTGCTGCAGAATGTGCGAAATTTGTGGCGAGACTGCAAAAAACATTACTGGTGTTGGGGATATCAGATTTATGGAGGAGTGGAATGAAAGATTTACTCGCAGCGGTAGTATGTCATCTGAGAGGAGTGGAGGATGCTGGCGCGGACAGCCCTTTTGTAACTTCTTGATGGCATGCCTTGTGGTAGCTTTTGTACTCCCCTGGTTCTTTCGTGTAAATATGTTCTAGTAATGGGAGTGAATAAGCATGAAGGTTCTTTCCATCATTATCTTCCAAAGCCAAACCCTTGTTTACAGAAGGTCTATCACATCGATTCTCACATACTTCTTCATTACAACACATAATCATACTGCAGTAAGGATTTTGTGGTTTACCATGCTGTCATACACGTACTCTCCGAGTTTCAGTTCGGGACCAAAAGGTTTGAGGCTTAGAATATTTAGAGGATTGATACAAGTGTCACAGGTAATGTTCTGAGATATTATTTCATGGTTTACGCTTAGAGGATTGAAAGAATTAGCTAGGACAAAAGTATTATCTGTTTCTTTGTTTCTCACGTCACCCTTTTCAACTCTTTTCTCATTCCTTTTAGCCATTCTTGTCAATTCATCTTTGTTGGTGAGACACTGAGACTTCATTGTACATTTGTTTTTTTTTTTTTTTTCTTGGTGAAGTTAAGAATCAGACATACTACTATCAAGTTTGATTTATAGAACGAAAATTCGGCCCTTCAGAAAAAAATCTCCAATAATACAAAATCGTGACAGGTTGAAAATCGAATGACCCTTTTCCGCTAGCATATCAGTTGAATTCTTTGTTATTAAGGCAGGTCAAAATTTTGTTTCATATAGCTCGTTTTTGGAGCCAGTATATGCTGACATGAGGATAACTTACGATGCTCTGACTTGCTTTTCCCAGAGAACTCTTAACAAGAGGATTACTTGAAGATGCAACAGTTGTATCTATGATTGATGTTCTGTAGGAACTCTACAAGAGCGAATTGAGAATAATAAATAAATCTTTGAATGCCAGGAGATATATCATCGTATATCTATATTATTAGGAAGGCCAAGTATCCAGTACTATTTCGTTACTCTAGAATAACAATAAAGAGAAGCAAGAAAACAAGGAAAAAAAAAAGGTTGGACATAGAAAATATTACACAAAACTTGCAATTAATAGAAAAAAAAGGAACTTTGAACATATAACTTACCCTTATACTAAAGGAACAAAAGAAACATAAAAGTAAAAAAGAAGATGGGAATCAGTAGGGTATGAAAAAATAGGCCGTCTGTACTAAACCTTGAGATGACCGAACTTGATGAAAATTTGTCACTTCGAACCGACCCTCATACTTTGGTCTCGTATGCTCTACGGTTATTGAACTTGTGTATCGGATTGGGTACATAGTTGAAGGATGTCTAAGGCCGTGTTCATTTTATAAATTTACATTTTCAGTTATAGGTTTCTACAGTTAAAAACTCTCAGAAAAATATCACATTTAACTTTTTCTTTTACAGTTAAAAGCTCTCAAAAAATATCGCATTTCAGCTCGAATTAAAAATTCAAATCTTCTAAGCGAACGAGACCTAACACTCAAGAAAAAAGTGGCTCCATTTCTGATGAAATAATCTTTAAGATTCCAGCTTTCTCTTAATATTCTAGTACCATGAACCAAAATCTGACTTTCACAAGGGACGTGGTCAGGGTCCCTCATTTTAATCATGGCCTTCACATTTAGCGTGCCTTTGGTTGGTAGATTCAGGCTTGTGAATTGGAATCAATGTTTGAGTCTTTGAGGGTTTTTTGGGTCCCGATTCAAAATCAACCCCCCTGATTCAGCCCAACTTGAATCACTCTGCACAGTGCACAAACAGTAACCGGAGTAATGACTCTCACATTCCTCACATTCAGCCTTGACTATTCTGTCTGAGAATCTCCAGCCTTCCTCAACCTTTCGTTCTTCTCGTGCTCCTTCAGAGAATCTGCTCAGCCTTTCTCTATTTTTCCCTTCTCTTCGAATTTTTCATGCTTCTGTTCCTTCACATGCTCGCATATTAACCGGGTAAAGAACCCACATCTCGGTGGAATCCTTTTCTCTGGGTTGATGCCTATCCTTTGAGTAGGTTGCTGTGAACAATCGACGAAAGCTTCACATTCGGTACAAATTTAGCCGGTACTACACAATTTCTCGCCCTTACCGGAGAGGAAATAGAAGCGAACGGAAAATTTTCAAAACACCTTCGTCTGCGTTTGGTTTTCTACCAACGGTGTCGTTCATCTCCTCCTCTTGCTCGAACTCTATAATGGTATGTGATCCTCAACTTATTCACAATTCTGTTTAAAGATCTATAGATGCCTAGGATATTGTTTTGCATTGTTGGTCTTTTAAATGGGTTCATCTCGGTGGATGTACCCCAGATGTAATCAAATAATAGGGATTCAAACAAAGCCTTTTTGTGTTATTGGTTGCAGTTGTATTTCAGTTTTTTTGCTCTGATTCTTTACTGTTGACACAAAAATTTCTCTAAACTTGTATTTTGAGAATTGGAAATTAAATTTGTAACACTACCATAAGTTGAATAAAAGTTGTGTTCTTTCCTTTATCCAGTTATGAAAAAAATGTACAAGAAACACAGATTAAATCCAACAGAATCAACCCAAATCAGATAGCATCATACACAGAGATCAACATGAAGTAATGTGTAAGTGGGGGTAAAGGGTGGGACAGGGAATGCGGATGCTGGGGCTGTAAGTTGATTTAAAAGACATAGCTATATGCCATGTTCCTCCTTATTAGACTTGGTTCACAAAACAGGTCCACTTCTTTCCCTTTCCATGACAAAGAATCCAAACAACTACAACCACAAGAGGCAAAAACTGATTATAAAGTTTTCCTATCTTCATTTTTAGTTGATGCTTTCCCTTTCCTCTTTATCTTCTCCTCCTTTCATGAATCCATATTCCCTTATAGTGGAGCCAAATTCTGTGAATGGAGCAAATAAAAAGATTCAACTTAACAAATGACATCTTAGAAATGACATTAGGCCAACAGGTAGTGTTAGTCGTACATAGATGAGTCGTTTTAGGGATCGCCTCGCGAATAAAATGTGGGTTAAATACCAGGAAAGTCGTAGGAAATAAGTTTGAAAGTATATATCATCAATGAGATTCTATCTCTATTACTTAAAATTTCATGTATTCATTATAGTATGAAAAAAAATTTGACATTCGTAACATACGTTTGTATTATGTGAATTAATTTCTCTGATTCAACCTGAATGTTTGTTAGTTCTCTACTTTTAGTTCTCTACTTTTTGGCTACTGGCACATTTTTTTCTATGTTTTTCTCATTTAACTTATTATAATTTTGAGTTATAATTTTTTGCATTTAATTTTTTTTCTAATATTTTGTTTTTTTAATTATAAAACAAATTACATTTTTTTAAATTACACCGGCCAAAATTGGTTCTTAATGATCTCATTTCTGTTGACCTGGAGACTCGAGTACGTAATAGGCTTTCCCAATTGGGTGTGCACAAAGATCTGTATCTTGTGGTTTTCCATTTGTTTAGGACTAATAATCGGAAAGAAGCAAATTCTTCTACAAGGGAGCATTTGATACGCGTTTTTGTTTTAGATGGTTTTAGATTCGCATTTCTTAGTTTTTCGGGTTGTTTAAAGTGGAAAGTGGAAGCACAATTTTGTAGTCCTTTTTTCTGAATTAATTTCATAAACACCCTCTAAATTTTATACCTAATTTTAACATCTCCTAAATTTTAAAAATGATTCATTTTTTCTCTTAAATTATGTACCTAGTTTAAAATGTCCTCACATTTATAAATTTTTTTTTAAAAAAATGATGACACGACGTTAGTTATACTTTTATATATAAGTGCTGCTATTAGGCACCCGATTTTACTGGCTCCGCACAACTCCGCAGTCCACGTGTATAAAAGACACAAAATTTGTTGTAAGTTTCAAGTGGGCCCATATTTATTTAATTGGAAAAAAGTGAAATTGCTCCTTCCATTGCTCTGCACGTCACGTGACTCACGTCATACGGAGCATACTCAGAAGTTGGGAAAACAGAACTCCATTAGTGTTTTCCTTTATAAATATTCCCCAAACTATTGACTTTTAAGTTAATTTACTTTTTGAATTATTACTTTTGTGTCAACTTTTTTTTTTGATATAAAATTGCGGACAAATTGGTATAAAATCAATAGTTCATGAGTGTTTATATAATAACATTAATTCAAGAGGTGTTTTGAATCACTTTTCTTATTTTAGAAGGCGAAACAAACCCTTTTTAAAATTTAAGAGTATGATATCATCACTGACTGAGAGCTCTAAAAACCATAAACAACAAGGATGTGCACAGTATAGCCACTACGTCCACTTGACTTTTGGCTTTTAGTGCCACAGATGCTTATCACTCATGGTCATGGAGATCGTAGCAAGGATCTTAGACTTAAACTTTCTGATGTGCAGGATCCCCTAATAGAGGTAAACACAGGGCATACTAGTTAGGAGGAGAACATTTATGATATAAGGAAGGGAACTTAGAATTTCAGAGAGGAAGAAGGGGGATTTAGAAACTCATACTTTTATTGTTGAGCAAATTCTTTACAAAGTTCTCTTGGTTGGAGGACTTCTGCCTAACCAAGAGAAATGTCTCGCCTTATATTGTTAAGGCTCATCACACAAGACTCTGATCTCATCTGACAGGATAAGATTTACACTATATAACTTTACACTTATTTTACAAAGGACAAGATGACTTTTGACAAATTGGATCACACACTGTTCCACTATTGACTTATTTGTACAGATGATAGAACCACTTTTGACAAAGTGGTAGACATACTATTAAACTTTTGACTAAGCATATAAAACAAACAAATAAACTTTTTACAAGATAAGATCTTCGGGTAAGATCTTATGACCTTTGTACCAGGAGGACAACTGGGTGCTCCTTTTTCAGCTAAGGGGACCCGTTGCAGTGGGAGCTGTAGTCTGATGAGTCAGAGTTCGTTGAACCACGCTCATATGGATGTTCATGTGGGTACCACTGTCTTTATCTTTTGCTGGGTGATGAGTTATAGTATGGATCCTGGAAATCTTGGAACAACGTTGGGTCAAAGTCTTGCTGACCCTGTGTGTCTTGTTGTGACGATGGTGCTTCACTTTGTGTGTCATGTTGTGCTGATGGTGCTTCAGAGGAGGTTGTTGCATCTTTTTCAAAGTATCGACTGTTGC